GTGTTTTATTATGGTTGAAAAACTGAGTACTACTCAAGAATATATATATTTGATATATTAGATACATAAGTATATATATATGCAATCAATTTAAAGTTTCAGGCAACTGTTTCAGTTACCGAGAAATGGCTATGAAATGGTAGTTTAATCTTGCAAAGGACAGATCATATTGGAAAGGACAGAAATACAGTGTAGCTTGAGATGTGATCAAGTTTGATCTCTTAGCATGTGCGATGTATGTATGCATGTATTATGTAATATAAATTCTTACTGGGATGTATCACTGGCTCACCAAAAGCCAGAGTTATGAAAATGAAGGAAAGAGCCACAGCCTAGGAGAAAAGGTTTTCTACAAATTCTGTCAAAGAACTTGTAATAAGCAGACATATAGAATTTCTTCTGGGTTGGGGAGGTGGCTCGGCGGGCAAAGTGCTTGCTGTAAGAATATGAGGATTTGACTTTGTACCGCCCCTCCCCCCCAGCACTCATGGAAAAACTAGTCTCAGCCGTGGTCCACAACCCCACGGCTAGGCGGCAGAGAGCAGAGCATCCTCCCGCCCAGTCTAGCCAAACTGGTGAGCTATGTCTTAGAATGTAAGGTGGAGACTGACAGAGGAAAACACGTGACATCCACCAGTGGCCTCCACATGCACAAGCACAATGTCCACCCACATATGTGCACACATGCTTATAACACACACACACACACACACACACACACACACACACACACACAAATTTCTTCAACATCCTTGAAAAATTATCTCAATTTAAAAAAATGGACAGAAGATCTAGACAAATAGAAAGTGTGGAGGAGCCAAAAAAGCAAATGAGAAAGATCTTCACTGGTCATGGGAAAATGCAAATCTCAACCATGGTCTATGTACCTTATCCACTAGGGGAGCTGAATTAAAGACAACACCCAGCTCTGCATTGGGAGCACAGTCTTTTGTCCCTTGTTAGAACGTAAAATGATGCAACTTGGTAAAAGGTGTAGGAGTATGTTTAAAGAACCAATTGTTTTCCTCAGTGCTGGTAATCAAACCCAGGGCCGCGTGCCGGCTCAACTAGGGTTCTGTTACTGAGTTATAACTTCATTTTTTTGGGGGGTGGGGGAGGGGGGGTGGGGGAACAAAACGAAACAAAACAAAAAAAACACACTAAACACATTTTGTTCTTGAAATGTGTTAGGTAAATTTTTAAAAATTCGGATTTGGAAAAGAAGAATGATCACATGATTTTATACATAAAAAAAAAATCCCAAGGACTCCATGAAAAGGAAAGACTAAAGACTGCATGGGGGCCGACAAGATGGCCCAGAAGACAAGGGTGGAATGCCTCAGCAGGTAAGGGTGAGGTTTGACCCTTGGAACCCACAGGGCAGGAAAGGACTGGCTAGAGTTGCCCTCTGGCCTCCACACCCACACCATGGCACTTGTATACTCTCCCGCCAATAAGTGAATAGTTTTTAAAAGGAGCTCATGAATGAGTTCAGCAAGGGTGTAGGCTTGGCGATGCCCACGGCCATCTTGAAAACTAAGAATCAAGTTGGTGACTGGGACTCACTTCACAATTTCAAGACCCTTGCCAAAGGACAGACATATAACGTAATTTATAGTTGACTGGTTTGGTTTTTTTTGTGTGTGTGTTTTTGTTTTTAAGATTTTAAGTGTGTAGTCTGAGTGTGGGTACGTGCACATGAGTACAGAACCCGCAGAGCCCAGAGGCATTGGAAGGCCCTGCAGCTGGAATTACAGTACTTGGGAGCTGCCCAGCATGGGGGCTGGGAACTGGACTCGGGTCCACTGAAGGGGCAGTGCAAGCTAACTGATGAGCCATCTCTCAGCCTCCTGGTGGACCATTGGTTGTCAAAGGTGCCAAGACAATGCAGCAGCAAAAGTATTTTGAACTGGCACTGCCGGGATACCTGGGCGGCCCATCCTGAAAGGAACCAGCTCTATCTCATACCACAAAGCTAATTCAAAATGGACTGCACAGCTCCAGGGAGAGGGTGAGACCCCAGAACCCTCAAAAGACGGCAAAACAAACCTCCAGGACTTCAGGTTAGGCAGGGGATTCCCTGAAATCCCCCAGTATGACATCAAAAGACACCAAATGAGGAGAATAAACTTCAGAAGGATGCTTACGATATACTTTTCAAATAAACCTTAAAAACATTTGAGGAAAGAGTGACTATTACGAATGGACACATAAATATGAAGGGTAAGTATATAAATATGAGCTACAGTGTTCAGAAGGGAAGAAGGAGTAAGGAGCTAAATTAAGGGCTTGAACAGTGTCTGCAGTGTTGCTCCTGACTGGGGAGGGGGAAGGTTCTCTGAAACAAATAGGGCATAATGTTAATATTTGATAGAAGCAAGTAAAACAGTTTATAGTTTGGCAAATTACATTCTTAAAAGGGCAATGTCTCCTTATCATGAGCCTTCTCTGCCAGCACAGCACAGGGCAAAATGGAGGTGAATGGGATTGACGTAAGCCTGAAGTCGTCCCCCAGGAAGTGTTGTGGAAATGGCTTTGAGACTAAACCCACAGTATCAGCCCCCATATTCGTCACTGCCTTGATTCAAAACTGGAGTTCAAAGTGCGAGCCCTTAGAACGATGACCGGAATTTTCCACTTGCTTGTATTCTATGCAAATAGCTGTGGCTTGTGTTTCTCTCTCTCTCTCTCTCTCTCTCTCTCTCTCTCTCTCTCTCTCTCTCTCTCTCTGCTCCTAAATTTGTTCTCATCAAATTTTCCCAAGCTAAGCCTCTCCCTTTCGTTGTTTTCTTTTCCCTAAATCTGTAATTCCTTTCGAGCAGCCATGAAGCACTAGTTTTCCTCTGCTCGAGTCTCAAGCGGCACGTGTCTTTAGTTGGGTCTTCGCCATCATCGTTAGCCTGGGTGGTGTGCCTGCATCTCCCTTGTTCCAAGGCTAGAATCAGCCTCCGGGTTCTGACAAGCTAAGGCTGTGATGAGAAAGAGGCACACTTACTCAGGACCAACGGGCTACTGCGTGCAAATGATTTAAATGAGGGAAGAAGTTCAGGAAGGGAGAGGGTTGAGGGAGTAACAGCTGCTCAATGGTCAGTGCTAGAGCTGGCCAGTCCTGCAGCCGAGTGGCCTTCCTGGCTTTGGCACCCAGCTCTTCTATCTCAGAGCCCTGTAGGCTACTTGCTTAAATCACCAGGGACACAAAAGGGGGGCTTTTCATCCTCTTTTTTTATTATTATTTTTAAGAATTACTAATATAAGTTGGATAAGTAACTATTTTCTATAGATCTTAGTCCCTGGCTCCTGACCAAGAAGAGAAGCCTAGACATTGTTTTGTTTGTTTTTTCCTTTCCTTATTTAATTTGTATATTACTTCTTAATATTTTTACATTTATATATAATCACATCATTTATCCCTTCCCTCTCCTCCCTCCAAACCCTTCCATATACCAATCCTTGCCCTCTTTCAAATCATGCCCTTTTTTCACTAATTGTTGTTACATATTACTGTTAAGTCCAAAGTGACTCCCAACCCCTCAAATGATAGTGACACACACAATGTTGTAAATGACAGTCTGGGCTCAGCTCAGGCTGGACCGTGGCTGGGGAAACAGAAGGATTGCCAGTGGATAAGCAAGAGCCTAAACTCAGCATTGCTCAGAAACTTGTGAAGTGGGCTTCTGCTTGTCAGGAAGAGCCATTACTCACTCTCCTTATCTGCCTCAACAGCCTAGAGCTGCTACCGTCTCTAGTAACACACACCTACAATACACATCGAAGTCCCCATGCCAGCTTCCGGGCTCTTCTGGCCCACAGTCCCCTGCCTCCAACTTATCTAACTTCCAGTTCTTGCTTACTTACTGGCTTTCCTCCTGATGCAAACATACCCCTTTAAAACTGGCAAGGCTTTCCCCACCTTTTGCTACTCTCTCTGTCCCCCAAGAAAGCCACCGCAGTTTAAAATTCCCCAATAAACCTTTCTTTCCACCCATGGAGTGGTCTAGTTCGATGGCTTTACTCTCCCCTTGCTTACCATTACTTGGATGTATGTTTTTGGTGTGGATCATTTGGTACTGGATAACTCCTTGGTGTGCTCTTCCCTGGGGAAGACTGTTTCTCCCACTCCCAGTCTTCCTTAGCTGCCTGTAGTTCTTTGTGTAGGGCTGAGACCTCATGGGCTTTGCCTAGGCCACTTGGGCATGTCTATTGTTGTCCTTGTTCTTGCTGTAGAGACTCTATGGGTGAAGCTTCTGACACTCCTAGGAAAACAATCTCACAGCAAACTCCCTGTTCCCCAGGCTCTCACCATCTCCCTGCCATTTTATTAGTGAACTACAGAAGAGAGTGGTCCCGCCATCTTTATTTATCAATAAAGATACTGATCAACCAAAAAAATCACCTACATGCATACTGTGCCCACATCATTTTGACTCCCAAACAACAGTACCAGATGTCATTACTGAGCATCTTCCACAGGTAGACAGTGTTTTACAACAGCATGCAAGGCAGGGTTGTTACATTGATAATCCTCTGTGAGAAAGGAAATCTCATCTCCCCTGTGCCAACGGGGCATAAGACAGAGGAAGGAAACAATATGCACACACTCATACTGTTGAAGAGGCCGAGCCAGAGTCACACCAGCTGTGGCTCTCAGCAAAGCCACACCCTTCAACACATGCTAGTTACTTCCTCCCTTTCTGTGGGTGGCAGGATGTTGGGCTGTTCTTCCCCACAATCCATTGGGCAAAGTAGGGTGTTATTTGAGTCCTCAAAAACCAATCTGATTCTTGGAGCATGATACTGATAAGACAAACACACACACACACACACACACACACACACACACACACACACACACACACGTATGTGTATATATATTTATATATGTATTGGGGAGGGGCAAAGATGGCTAGCTGTTGTTAATCCACAAGACTGCTCAAACATTGCCCATATAGCATAGCCATGTACCCCGGCAGCAAAGCCCCTCCTGAGGGATGGAACTATACCTGGATAGGGTCCTGCGTCAGTCTCATGGGCCCAATGCGTACCTCCGCAGAAGACACCTGCTAAATAAAGGACATCACGTGAGAAGTGTTATATCTTCAGAGTAGAGATTGCTAAATCATTCCATACACAGTAGACTATATTACACCACTTCATAAATGATGGACGAACCTAACTCACTGACCTGGAGACAATTTAGGAAGCGTCCTATACAATCCTTTCCCATTCACTTATGTGAATCTATACACTGTATGCACTGGGAATATCCATAAGACTATATCTCCAATGGTAAGTGGCAGGACTTTGGGGGTATTTTTGCTTCAGGCCTAAGACTTTTATAATAAGCATGAGCTGTTTTATTTGGAAAAAAACAATTCAATGATTATTAACTGAGCACCTACCGTATACTAGGAGCATCATTATTATAACTATACTATGTACTCTACCTACTGATAATCTGAAATTCCAAGAGTGGAACATGCTAGAGCATGTCTCCTGATTAAGAACTACCTCTCCACTCATACCTGTTTCTTTAGGCTTTAACATGAGGAATAAACAGCTCATTCTTATCATGGATACTGCCTCCATCTCAGTGGTATTTCCTCAAGAGGACACAGGGGTACCACACCAGGACCACAAAAGGCTAACCTTTGCTCAGGCTCCTTGGGCAAGACTGGAACTCTCAGTTGCTCACTAGTCCACACTACCTACCTAGTTGCCCTTGGCTGCAGTGGAGAGCAAATACCTATTTGCCTTTACTTGTAATCACTTTACTTGGATTTCTAAAAGTGACTTTTCTCCAAATGAATCTGGATGAAGGTCTGGACCGTATCTCCAAGGACCCAATTTTTTTTTCTCTAGGTGACTACAGTGACTTGCCACTTGGAAGGTTATCCTGCCTGAAACACACCATGACGGCCTCTGTCTGTCTGTCTGAAGAAGCATCATCATCAAGCAGTATGTGACCAGGGACATGGCAATGACCCCGAGCCAGGCTTGATCCATTAAAAAAAATAACAGAAAAGTCCAGCTTCCTGGGCTGGGGATGTGGTCAGTTGGTAGACAGCTGGAACGCATGGGGCCTTGGGTCTGGTAGTACACAAATGGGCACAGCAAAATAGGGTTGTTCTCAGCCACATCAGTTTGAAACCAGCCTAGGGTATATGGGACCCTGCCTCAAAACCCCAAACCAAACAACAGCAACTCCAAAGCAGAATTTAAATTACACTTTGGAAGATCCAAACTATTTCCCCTTCCCCCTTTTTTCCCCTCCCCATACTTAACTCTGGTCACTCAAGCTGTAGTCCCCTCCAATGTGCCCCTATTCCTCTCTCTGTAGGGTGGACTTTCCACTTCACTTCAGATCTCATTGTTAGGAAATAGGGCCAGCAGAAATCCAAGACCCAAGAGACTCCCGGCAGGTAAAATCCCCATAGCCTAAGGAGTCTGATCCCCAGAACTAAAATACAGGTAGAAGGAGAGAACTCCTTACACAAGGTTGTCCTCAGACCTCCACATGTGTTCTGTGGCATGCACCATGAGTGAGTGCATGCACATACACATATACCAAATAAATCAAAATTTAAATATAAGAAAAATGAAGCATCAAAGGAATAAAATAAAAAGGGCTTGCTTTGGGAGGCTAAGAGTCCGAGGGTAGGATGCCTGCAGGAAGAACTCAAGCTGCCCCGACAAAAAGAGAATTTGACACATTGCCTTGTATCCTTTGGCAAGTCCCCATCAGGCACATGATATGTGACCCGGCTAACCTCCCTCAGTGGTGGGAGGCAGCTAGTTTAAAATCCACCAGGAAGCTGGGCAGTGATGGTGCACACCTTTAATCCCATCACGTGGGAGGCAGAGCCAGGAGGATCTCTGTGAATTTGAGGCCAGCCTGGGCTACAGAACGCATTCCAGGACAGCCAGGGCTACATAGAGAAACCCTGGCTCAAAAAACAAAACAAAATCCACCAGGAGACAATATGATGACGGTGAACATACCCTGCCTCTCTGTCCCGGGCATTGTGCTAAGGTGTGGCCTGAACAGGAGACCAAGCAATGGTCATTGATGGACAGCACCATTTTAAAGGAAGATACTACCTTCCTGCCCCAAGACAGGAGAGACCATAGATTTCTCATACAGCCACAATGGTCCCCACTTTGGCCTCTGCCTGGGCCAACTTGGCAGAAGCCAGGCTGTGAATCTCAGTAAGAGGAATGCAGAGCCAGGTCCTGTCCCAGGTTCCTAACTGTCCCCTACTTACTCCTTCCATCTCCTTGTCCATCTGTCCCCACCTACGACTGTTACTCCAGCTTGGGTGCCTCAGTTTACCAACTCCTCTAGCCCTGACCCATACTTTGCTTCATGTCTCTTGTCTTGTCCTTTCCTTCTCAGGCTATGCTCTGGGTCATCTGACCTTGGCCTCAGTATCCATGGAGGTCAGCTGTCTCAACAGAACCTGACTCTTCAGGATGGCCCAGGCAGTGGACAGCAAAGGATAGCTGCAGTGCTTTGCAAAGCTCCGTTTCAAAATTCGCCATCTCATCATACAAATACACGGATGCCTGTGTGGCCAAGCCAAGAGTCTACTTCAGAGGGTGAACTTTGAGTGACTGAAGATGTGTAGGTGTGCAAGTTGGTTCTGCCTGCAGGAACTGAGCACCTCTGCCAGGGACAGAGTAGTCAAACCAGGGAGGAGGCCATAGACCACAAAATCTTATTGCTCAGAAAGAGGGAAGGATGGGGACAGAGATGATGAGATAAAATTCTAGGCCACATCAACTACATGGCTTCCCCAGTCGCTTAATTAGTACAGTGTATGCTTAATCACACTGTACAACATTTGCCATGTCATGCATTTGTGTGTATGCATGCATGTGTAAATGAGAATATACCTATAACTACACAGAGCCATGCACTTCCCTTCAGATGAGCTAGTTCTCAAGGGTAGATAAGAAAGAGCCCTGCTTTTAGTATTTGCTGATTTTACCAATGGTCATAGAGCTTGGCTATGCTGGCATAAAAAGAGAGATCCCTTGGCTCTGCGCCTGGGAATGCACCTGTCCATCCCATGAGAGTTGGTGAGTGAGAGTTGGTGAGTGCAGTTTTTATTGATCTGCAAATATCCATTGTTTATTTTTATTTGCTAGTTTAGCTGCATATAGAATTCTCCTTTACAATTAGAAGTTGAGACAGAAGAGCTAATTCTGGTTTGGGGAGATTGAAGAAGCATCCGTGAAGTCAGGCAAGCCATGAAGAATAGGAAGATGAGAGTAGGCTGAGGAGGAGAGTCTAGTCCCGGAAGAGCCTACGCACAGACAGGAAGGCAGAGGCGTGCCTGGGGGAGGGACACAGTGCTCAGAGCGTGTGTTACGGTGCATAAAGGGGAAATCTGGGGGTGAGGGAGACCCCAGGGAGGAGCCTTTTCATTCTGGAGGCAACCATCCCCATGGTGTAGGATTCTGAGTTACCATGATTGTATTTGTGACCAGAAAAACCAAGCTTGCCCACTTCCTGAACAGACAAGAGCAGAGATTTAATAACAACAAAATGACACAAAGCAAAATATTCCTCTGAGTGGGAACAAGTGACGGAGTGAAAAGCAAATGGGAAAATTCGTCACGGTGACCAGACAAAATGCAGGGAGGAAGGACACGGCTTGACTTCCTTTCAACAGGCATGAGCTCCAGCACGAGCCTACTAGTGCAGCATGGGTTTGCTTGGGCTTGCTATCAGGGGCTACCTTCTCTGGTACTGATTGCCACATCCCTTACTGGTTTCTGCTCCTGGAAACTTGCTGAGTAACTTGGCATTGACTTTTTTTTTATTTCATTTTTTATTTAAGAAATTTATTCATTTTACATACCAACCATAGATCCCCCTCTCATCCCTCCTCCTGCTTCCCCCACCATCCTTCCCCCTCCCATCCCCTTCTCTGAAAGGTTAAGGCCTCCCATGGGGAGTCAGCAGAGCCTGGTGCATTCAGTTGAGGCAGGACCAAGCCCCTCCCTCCTGCATCAAGGCTGAGCAAGGTGTCCCACCATAGGTAGTGGGCTCCAAAAAGCCAGCTCATTGGCATCGACTTTTACAGCTGGCCTCAAACCAGAAGGAAGTCGAGATTCAGGAACGAAAGCCCTTCCCCACCTCCCAGGCTCAGCGGCTTCTCTTCCTCTTGTTCTGCTCTTCTTTTGGCCCTGATGTTAAACAGCACTTAATCCTCTCAAGACGCCCTCAGACCACCATCAGTCCTCATATCAACTTGGTTGTGTTGCTCCTGTGTTTTGAATGGACCCCATCCACCCTCCAGCTTCCAGGCAGAGAGGCCCCAGCACTAAAAGCATGCCGTGACATCATGTGAGCCTGGGAAGCCGTATTCCAACGTGGGAACCCGATTGCACCTTGAATGCTTCCTTTGGATAACTATGCCCATCACCTCCAGACACCATCTACTTCCTTTTGTTTCCTCAACCATGGCCTACCTGTTGGCTCTGCCATCACACTAGCCTCTAGCACTCCGCTGGCTTTGGTCTGGCTGTCTGCTCTCCAGTACTTCCTGGCACCTCTGAAACCCTGCACACTTCAGAGCCTGAGAGGTCAACGGGAGGTTCTTGATCCCATTCCCTTCCCACTTCTATCTCTGGTTTTGACATTCTGCATCTGCTCTTTATATGAGAAACCTCCAGGGAGACTTTTTAAATGAGTCAACTCCTGCTTCCAACTCTACAGGAAGAGAGTCCAAAGACAGGGCCCTAACAATAGTACGTCTTATCTCTGTGAGTGCAGGAGGTTAAGAGGTTTGAGTCTCCTCTGCTGAGCAGACACGTCAGTCACGGAGGTCCCTTCCATGGCTTCTCCCACAGATTCTATTGCATATACCAATAGGTACAGTGTGGAAGCCTCAAAGCCCACCCAACACTCAGCTGTTAGACCTGTATATAGGCACTCTTCCAAAGCACAGGTTGTTTACGATCAGGCAAGAAGAAGATACCTGGATAGTTATCCATGCAAAACAATACCCCTAAATTATAACCAAGAGCAATACAAGTTCTTTAAAGTCCATTG